CAGTGGCATTTTGGATTAATTGTAGAGGTTTGATAGAAGTGGCTGGAAGACCTGCCAAGAGAGCATTGCAATAGTCTAGCCTGGACAGAACAAGAGCTTGAACAAGGAGTTGTGAAGCATGTTCTGAAAGAAAGGGCCTGATCTTCCTAATGTTGTGTAAAGCAAATCTGCAGGATCGGACAGTTTTAGCAATCTGGTCTGAGAAAGTTAGCTGATCATCAATCACAACTCCAAGATTCCTAGCTGTTTTTGAAGGAGTTATGGTTGATGTGCCTAACTGGATGGTGAAATTGTGATGAAACGATGGGTTTGATGGAACCACAAGCAGTTCTGTCTTGGCAAGGTTGAGCTGAAGGTGATGGTCCTTCATCCAGCAAGAAATGTCTGTTAGACATGCTGAGATGCGAGCAGCTATCGTCGGATCATCAGGATGGAATGAGAGGTAGAGTTGAGTGTCATCAGCATAGCAGTGATATGAAAAGCCATGTTTCTGAATGACAGAACCTAGAGATGACACGTAGACAGAGAAGAGAAGTGGTCCAAGAACTGAGCCCTGAGGCACCCCAGTAGCTAGATGTTGTGACTTGGACACCTCACCTCTACAAGATATCTTGAAGGACCTATCTGAGAGATAAGACTCAAACCACTGGAGTGTGGTTCCTGAGATGCCCTTTGCCAATAGGCTTGACATCTGGTGGTTAACTGTGTCAAAAGCAGCGGACAGATCCAGCAAGATAAGTATAGAAGATTTGGAAGCCGCACTTGCCAGTCTTAGGGCTTCAACAACTGAGAGCAAGGCAGTCTCGTTTGAATGTCTATATATTACTTCATAATTCTGACTAAAATATACATTCCACTGAAACATTTGTAGTTGGGCAATAAATGTGACATATGTAGAATTTTAAACCTACAAGTAAGTGTATTTAGCACTAACTAAAGTGAATGTAATGGGGTAATCAAAATAGCCTAGTCTGTGCTTTTGTTCTTATTTCTTTTTATTTTTAGTTTAGTGAATTTAACTTCTGCTTTAAAAGCATTATTTTTGTTTTTAGATTTTTTTGTTTTTAGAATGTTACAATGTTAGAATGAAATGTGATTTTAACCCTTTTTTGCACATAATATAAGCCTACATGGTTACATTCACTTCATTTGTTTTCAAAGCCTTTAATATGTATTGTTTAGTTGGACAACATTGGGCAGTATGTGAAATATTATATATATATATATATATATATAAAATACAGATTTTTAAAAATACAAATACAAAAATGAAAATACCGAGATATATACAGTATATCGCAAATCAGCCAAAAAATGCCAAGATATGAATATTTGGCCATATCACCCAGCCCTACTGTACAGCCTTCAAAACCATCCAACTTCAAGCTTTAAAATGACTTTAAACAGAAAACCTTCAAACTTCAAGCTTTAAATCTACTTCAGGCTTTCTCAAGCCAACATCAGAGTTTGTCTCTACGAAACTTTTGACTGTAATGAAGGTTTGAGGCACAAAGATTCTGTGATTCAAAGACGAGTCATATACAACTGATGATCATTTGTCATGAGAGAGAAAACTCAGAGACACAGTAAGGGTATTTTAAAGCGTTCTTACCTTCTTACTGCATGTGGTGGTCATCCTCAGACAGCACTTCCTGTGACATGCATAGCGACAGACTGAAGAAAACCAGAAACAACAAGCACACGGTTAACAGCGGATCAGAGCACCAGCATCACGTTTCCCACTCACATCAACAGGAAAATGAGACTGAGAGACACAAGAGTCCGTTATCGATCACGTCCAGATGAAAACAGATGCATTTACAGGGAAAAAATCTGATTATGCTGCTCTCAAGACTAGCAGACAGACACTTAGTGGCTCCGATCAAAATACGGGAAAAGAGAAACTCCAGGCTATGATGAGTCAAAACCAGTATTATTAAAAATTAAAAATTAGAACTAGCTGAAACAAAAAATTAGGCAAGTAGCTGAAATAAAACACATTTAAGTTTTATATATTTTATTTAGTTTATTTTATTTCAAGTAAAGACATTTTTATATTTTTAGTTTTAGTTAATGATAATAATTCTGGCGCAAAAATAAATTTTCTTTAAGCACACTTTAATGCATTTTGTGAGAATTACAATACTGCTGTAAATAAGAGAACAAAATGAAAACACTCTTGTTCGAGTCCCATTTTTAACTATTACAATATTAAGTGTTTAAACTTTTCCAGGCTGAAATATAAAAATGACAGCGCTGAACGCACGTTTGCAGACACACGCTTTGTCCATTATCCAGATGAGAGACGAACAGAACTCGCAGTAGGTCGGGATGCTGTACTGAGTGGATTTAAAGATGTGACCCATGTGCTCTTCCACCTGCAGAGGGCAGCAGAGTGCTGAAGATGTTAACAGAGTTACCAAGAATTCATAAAGCCTATTACACAAGAATAATGATCTAAATGGAGTTTAAAACGAGGACTGACGGTGTCGGATTCCTTTTTCCTCCTCTTCTTCCTCTCAGGTTTAGGAGCCTGAAAAACAAACACAAAATCTCAGAAGAGTTTTGGTGGACGATGCTTGTTTGTGGACCAAGAGAGAGATGCTTTACCTTAGTGATGGTTCCATTCATTGGCTTGTATTCCGTCATGAACTCATCGAGGAAGACTTTGAAGGTGTTGACCCAGACTTTAACCGGCGACTCGCTCCAGTCTCTCTGCTCCAGACGCATGTTCTTCTCTAAGATGTGTTCGAACAGAGCGTAGAGATCTTTGTAACGAATGCTCCGGCCATCATCCATCTGAGGGTGAGACACATTTAGGGCGAGAGTTTGGAGGTGAGAAGTTGTTTTCTGGGTTGCTTTGAAGTCACTGTAAAATTCTGGATGTCAGAAACTCACGGCCAGAGCAGTAGAGTACGAGTTGAAGATGTTGAGGCGGAACTCTTTCAGAGCCTTCTTGAAAACCACATCCACAGGTGTGTCCTTCTGACTGTCTTCAGCTTCTAGATCGCTGATCTACGAAACGTCAGATGAGAGATTTTTAATATCTTGGCTAATGCAACGATTCTTCCAATTTTAAATTATACCTCCATTAAACACATTTTACCGTGACAATTCTTATTAAATTGTGTAAAACCTTTCTTGTGCAAACTGAAAGAGACACTTTTATGCAAGAAATATTTTACAAATTATTTACACAGATATAAAAAACGATTGCAAAAATTCTAGTCATACAGAACCATTCTTAGGTAAATTGAATGTGACGGGTTACACAAGAATGGTTTTACGAACAATTTGCAGAGAAGTGTTTTAAAATATTCATACTTAAATTGTGCCGATAATATTAAGTCACACATTTTATCATTCTTAAAAATTGTTGCATAAAACCTTTCTTACATAAGTTGTGCAAAACCATTCTTGCCTAAATAGAATGTGACAGGTTAAACAAATGGTTTATGAACAATTTGCAAGATATTTGTTTGTAAAAATATTGTTACATTGATTATGGTGACAATACTAGTTGCACAAAACCATTCTTTCATAACAAATGCTGCGCAAAACTGTTCTTACAAAAATTGTCGTAAAAAACATTATTACGTAAATTGATTGTCTCAGGCTGACGAACAACTGGCAAAGATATTTGTTTGTAAAAATATTCTTATGTAAATTATTGCAGCAACACTAGTTGCACCAAACCATTCTTGTATAAACGTTTGTTAAAAGTTTTCTTACTTAAATTGTCACGTAAAACAATTCTTATAAAAACTGGATATGGAAGATTACAGAAGTATACAGTGTATAAACAATTCAGAAGTTTACAAAAGAATAGTTTTAAAAACAATTTATACAGATAATCACTCGTAAAATTATATCGAGACAATTCTACTGTCTACCATTTTTACGTAAATTATTAGGTAAATCTATTCTTTCGTAAATTGTAACAAAACCAGTTTTAGGTAAACTTAAATGCAACCGTTTACACAAGAACGGCTTTACGAACAATTTACACAGAAATTAATTCGCAAAACTATTAAGTAAATTGTAGTGACAATTATAGTCGCACAAAAACATTCTAACGTAAATTGTTGCGTAAGAATAGTTTTATGAACAATTTACACAGAAATTAATTTGTGAAACTATTCTAAAGTAAATTATAGTGACATTTCTAAAGTTGCACAAAAAACATTGTAATAAAACATTCTTATATAAATTGTTGCATAAAAGTATTCTTTCAAAAAAGTCTCATAAAACCATTAATATGTAAACTGAATGCGCAAGAATTCAATAAACAGTTTACACAAGAATTGTTTTTATGAACAATTTACACAGAAATTAATTTGTAAAACCATTATAGAATTATAGAAAACCATTGTACAATTCCACAGCTGCACAAAAACATTCTAGTGTGAATTGTTGTGTAAAAGTATTTTGTAAACAATGCAACATTTAACGCTATAATGATTTACAAACAATTTAACAATTAGTAAATATATCAAGTAAATTGTAGTGACAATTCTACAGTTGCGCAAAAAACATTCTAATGTCAACTGTTGCATAAAACTATTCTTTTGAAAATTGTCACATAAAACTATTAATACTTTACACAGAAATTCATTAGTAAAACTTAATTTTAGTGACAATTCTACAGTTGCGCAAAAAACATTCTAATGTCAACTGTTGCATAAAACTATTCTTTTGAAAATTGTCACATAAAACTATTAATACTTTACACAGAAATTCATTAGTAAAACGTAATTTTAGTGACAATTCTACAGTTGCGCAAAAATATTCTAATGTTAACTGTTGCGTAAAACTATTCTTTCGAAAATTGTCACATACAACTATTAATACTTTACACAGAAATTCATTAGTAAAACTTAATTGTAGTGACAATTCTACAGTTGTGCAAAAAACATTCTAATGTCAACTGTTACGTAAAACTATTCTTTTGAAAATTGTCACATAAATCTATTAATACTTTACACAGAAATTCATTAGTAAAACGTAATTTTAGTGACAATTCTACAGTTGCGCAAAAATATTCTAATGTTAACTGTTGTGTAAAACTATTCTTTTGAAAATTGTCACATAAATCTATTAATACTTTACACAGAAATTCATTAGTGAAACGTAATTGTAGTGACAATTCTATATTTGTGCAAAAACATTCTAATGTCAACTGTTGCGTAAAACTATTCTTTCGAAAATTGTCACTTACAACTATTAATACTTTACACAGAAATTCATTAGTAAAACTTAATTGTAGTGACAATTCTACAGTTGTGCAAAAATATTCTAATGTCAACTGTTGCATAAAACTATTCTTTTGAAAATTGTCGCTTAATACTATTAATACTTTACAAAGAAATTCATTAGTGAAACATAATTTTAGTGACAATTCTACAGTTGCGCAAAAACATTCTAATGTTAACTGTTGCGTAAAACTATTCTTTCGAAAATTGTCACATAAAACTATTAATAATTTACACAGAAATTCATTAGTAAAACCATTATAGAATTATAGAAAACCATTGTACAATTCCACAGCTGCACAAAAACATTCTAGTGTGAATTGTTGTGTAAAAGTATTTTGTAAACAATGCAACATTTAACGCTATAATGACCTCCTGTCGTTGAGCTCTGAATCTGCGGAGCGCTCCCTGGTGGACATCTTTTTATCTCCATGTTTGCTCTTACTCCAGAACCGCATTTTGCCTCTGACCCTAAAAATGGAAAAAAAGATTATATGTGACACTGGACCGCAAAACCAGTCATAAGGGTACATTTTTTAAAATTAAGATTTATACATTATTTGAAAGCTGAATAAATAAAGCTTTCCATTGATGTATGGTTTGTTAGGATAGGAATAATTAGCCGAGATACAACTATTTGAAAATCTGGAATCTGAAGGTGCAAAAAAATTAATCTAAATATTGAGAAAATCGCCTTTAAAGCTGTCCAAATGTGTGTGTGAGTGTGTGCGTGAATGTGTGCGTGCGTGTGAGTGTGTGTGTGTGCATGTGTGTGTGCATGCAGTGTGTGAGTGTGTGTGTGTGTGTGTGTGTGTGTGTGTGTGTGTGTGTGTGTGTGTGTGTCAGTAAGCAGCGCATTAATATAGACCAGTAACTAAAGGCTCTAATGCACACCAGTATAGGTGTGTGTATTGTAAGAGCTAGACAATATATGATGATATGTAACGGTATAGTAGTGGTGTCCCATATCTTCGGGGAATATTTTCACCCCACACACTCTGTTTCAAGGGGAAGGGGAAGGGGAAGAGGTATACAATAGAATTGGGGTTGGGCTTCAGTCTTAGTAAACAAAGTTTTGGTTACACTTTTTTTAAGGTGTCCTTGTTACAGTGTAATTATACATTTAGATACTGAGTAATATTAATTAACTACATCTACTTACTATATGGCTAGGATTAGGATTAGGGCTTGTCTTGGGGTGACTTGCATGTAATTATTTATTGTTATTATAATAGTAAGTACATGTAACATGTGTAACAAGGACACTTTAAAATAAAGTATTTATATTTTTATAAAGTATAAATAAAATAAAGTTTTTATGAACAAAAAAAAAATCTCCACATTCACGCTGCTTTTGACCAATTCTATGGGACTATAAAATACTAACAATTATTATGATTTTATTGTAATTATCATTAAATATATTAAACTAACAAAGAAATATGTTGTAATAATACAATTTTACTGTAAAAATTAATTAAATTAAATTAAATTTTAAAATTATTTATTTGAATTACAATTAAATAAACGTACTGTAAAATTACAATACTAATTTTCACGCTGCTTTTGACCAATTCTATAGGACTATAAAATAGTAACAATTATTATGATTTTATTGTAATTATCATTAAATATATTAAACTAACAAAGAAATATGTTGTAATAATACAATTTTACTGTAAAAATTAATTAAATTAAATTAAAATTTAAAATTATTTATTTGAATTACAATTAAATAAACGTACTGTAAAATTACAATACTAATTTTCACGCTGCTTTTGACCAATTCTATAGGACTATAAAATAGTAACAATTATTATGATTTTATTGTAATTATCATTAAATATATTAAACTAACAAAGAAATATGTTGTAATAATACAATTTTACTGTAAAAATTAATTAAATTAAATTAAAATTTAAAATTATTTATTTGAATTACAATTAAATAAACGTACTGTAAAATTACAATACTAATTTTCACGCTGCTTTTGACCAATTCTATAGGACTATAAAATAGTAACAATTATTATGATTTTATTGTAACTATCATTAAATATATTAAACTAATTAAGAAATATATTGTAATAAAATTTTACTGTAAAAATTATAAAAAACATTTTTTTAATTAAATTAAAAATGATTACATTTTAAAATGATTTATTTGAATTTTAATTAATTTTGCAAACGTACTGTAAAATTACAATACTAATTTTGTCTCAGTTTCTTTCTTTTTTTAAACAAACATTTTTTAACTTGGCAGCCTGACTGCGCGATATGACAACTGATTCTTTCTATATATTATGCAGCTCTAAAATAGTGAGTGTTGTGTTCATCAGCAAGTAGAATTATTATTAGTATTATTATTATAGTAGAAGGAAAGAATCCCATCTGACCTGCCGTCGGTTTGCGCGATCGACTTCCTGAGCGAATCCATTTTCCCAAGATCCCCCGACGACATGGTCTTCTGGATCCTCTTCTGCTCTTTCTGAGAAACAAACCCAGAATCAGATGCTTCGTGAACATCAGACCGGACTGAACAGTATATTCTCAGATCTGGTTCTGTAAAGCTCTCTGAAGAAAAAACAACCCATGACACCAAACCCAAGAGAACGAGGGGCAGCACGAGAGAAAGAGAGAGTATTTAAGATCAGAGAATGAATCCGTGTTAATGCATCTTGACTCGCAAACTCCATATTCAGCAACGGCTGCAGCTCAGGTAGAGATCAGACACCACGAACTCTCTCAGCTTCATCCAGTCAGGGTTATTAGTCTTCTGTTTGATTAGTCCGGCAGAGAAAGTCCGACAGTGAGCTTTTGCACACTCACCAAACCTTAAACTATTGGCGCACACCAAATTCTGTCATCGTTTATCTCCCCTTAAGTCGTTTCAAATCCCTTTGACTTTTTTCTTCCATCAGAAACTATTATAGCTGATTTATTGATTTTTAAATTTTTTAAAATAATTTTGTCATGGTTTTTTTATTTTAATTTTTTTTAATATTTTATTTAGTTTAAGTTCATGGTTATTTAAAGTAACTCTTTTTTATTGTTATTTTAATTAGTAAAAAAAAAAAGTAATTTTCATTTGACTGATTTTACGTGAAATAAAATTACAGGTTTTGTATATTTTATTTGATCTCAATTAATGTTTATTTTAAGAAACAATTTTTCATTGTTTTAGTTTTAGTTAACTATAATAACAAGAGTCCCCACAGCTCCTTTATTACTTTTTTAATTCATCTTTATTTTTATAATTTTTCGTTTTCATTTAGATTTTGTTTAGTAAAATAAAAAGATTTCTCCCACGGGTCTTTTTTCATTTTATTTATTTATTTATTTTTACAATTTTACTCATTTTAGTGAAATATTACAAAAAAAAAATTTTTTAATCTCAATAAAAATTTATTGAAGTCATTTTTTTTTAACTTTTTTTTTATTTCTAATTAACTAAAAATACCGAAGGGTCCTTAAAAGTATCTATATTTTATTATTATTATTATTTTTTTTATAAAAGTGGTTTAAAAGGCTGAAAAGTGAAGTTTAGCATTTTATAAAACTTTGTTTTTGTCAAACCCTGTGTTATTAGAAATGTAAAGAACTGTATTTAAATAAATAAATATTTTATTTAATTTCAGTTCATGTTTATTTAAAGTAACACTTTTTTATTGTTATTTTAATTCGTTTTTAAAAAATATTCATTTTCATTTTATAGATTTGACATGAAATAAAATTTCAAGTTTTGTATATTTTATTTGATCTCAATTAACGTTTATTTTAAGATTTGTTTTAATTGTTTTAGCTTTAGTTAACTATAATAACCAGAGTCCCCACAGCTCCTTTATTACATTTTTAATTAATCTTTATTTTTTTTTATAAGTTTTCGTTTTCATTTTGATTTGAGTGATTTTGTTTAGTAATTTTTTTTCTTCAATTTTACTAATTTTGTTTTCTACATTTTTTTTTATCTCAATTAAAATTTATTTTAAGTCGTTTTTTTTATTGTTTTATTTTTAATTAACTAAAACTAACGATGGGTCCTAAAAAGTATATATTTTTAATTTTTTTATTTTTTTAAAAGGCTTTAAAAGGCTGAAAAGTGAAGTTAAGCATTTTATAAACCTGTGTTTTTAGAACAGTTGTTTTTTTAATGGTTTGGGGTGTTACCATAGACTTAAAAAGGGTCTTAATCTTGATTTTAGATACCCTGAATAACCCACTGAACAAAAAATGAGATGGTGTTTGGCTACAGTGCAGTTAACGGTCTTCAAAACGAACGCCAAACGGGTTTGGAACGACACGAGGGCGATTTAGTGACAGAAATCTACATTTAGGTTAAACTACTCTGTTAAAAATGAGTGTGGATCCTGTGCTGGCTCAGAACGGATGAGTGTGCAGAGCTGCGCCGGGGCTCAGTTTTACCGTCTCAGGGGCGCCGGGGACGGCTCTGGCCTCGTCTTCGTCAGAGTGGAGCTGCGGAGCACGGCTCAGGTGATCAGAGCGAGTCCCGCGCATGCACGCTCTCTTTACACGAGCCGCTCTGATCACCTGATCGAGCACACTGACGTCAAAACTACCGACAGACACTCAGCACCCAAACTCATCTCACAGCTATACATGCAGCCTGATTTTACTCCGCTGAGCTGAAAAAACCTCTCATGCCTAAAACATGTATCGTAGCCACTCTCAAATCTCTCAGGAAGAAATATAATATGCATATTTATAATATAATATTTTATACCAAAATGTATATTAAAATATTTAATATAGATATAACATTACAGCAATAATGTACAGTAATATACAGTAATATAGAAAAAAAATGCATAAAAAATATAAAAATGTAATATAAATAAAAATACAATTATAATATAGTAATTAAAGTACAACTATAATAACTACTGTATATAACTATAAAAATCATAGTAGTTAAAGCATTAAAAATACTGGATTTATACTAAAACATTTTTGAAATTATATATATATATAATGTATAGATATACAGAAATATACATAACATATTACAAATAAAAATATACAATAGCAAATATAAATATTTAATATAAATGAAAATAAAATCATAGTATAGTAATATAGTTATTACAGTATAACTATAATAACTATGCTAATTAGTAAAGTATTATATAATATTTAAATATACAATAATATAGATAACGTATATTATAAATAACAAACATAATATACAAAAATGTAATATAAATAAAAATAAAATTATAGTACAACAACTATTAGCAATTAATTATTATTAGTTTTATACTAAAAACTATTTTGAAATAATATATATAATAGACGTACAGTAATATACATAAGATTTGTTACAAATAAAAATGTAACAAATAAAACATTATAGTACAGTAATTAAGTATAACTCTTACAACTATATTAATTAGTTATTAAAGTATTAGAAAACTAAAAACTATTTTTACATAATATATATAATATTTAGATATACAGTGATATAACATTTGTTATGCATAAAAATATTAATAAATAAAATAAAATTATAGTACAGTAATTAAGTATAACTATATTAATTATAGTAATTAAAGTATTAGAAAACTAAAAACTATTTTTAAATAATATATATAATATTTAGATATACAGTGATATAACATTTGTTATGCATAAAAATATTAATAAATAAAATAAAATTATAGTACAGTAATTAAGTATAACTATATTAATTATAGTAATTAAAGTATTAGAAAACTAAAAACTATTTTTAAATAATATATATAATATTTAGATATACAGTGATATAACATTTGTTATGCATAAAAATATTAATAAAAAAAAATTATAGTTCAGTAATTAAGTATAACTTTATTAATTATAGTAATTAACGTATTAGAAAACTAAAAACTATTTTTAAATAATATATATAATATTTAGATATACAGTGATATAACATTTGTTATGCATAAAAATATTAATAAAAAAAATTATAGTTCAGTAATTAAGTATAACTTTATTAATTATAGTAATTAACGTATTAGAAAACTAAAAACTATTTTTAAATAATATATATAATATTTAGATATACAGTGATATAGATAACATTTGTTATAAAAAAAATTATAGGATAGTAATAACTATAATAACAATACTAATTATAGTAAATAAAGTATTAAAAATACTGTTTTATACTAAAAACTTTTTTTTTTTTAAATAATACAAAAACCAAATTAATATACATTTTAAAAGAAAGTATTTCAAAATTGAAAAAAAATTCTGAACAAATAAAGTTCCTCACCTCTCTGTTTTTTAGCGATCTGAATCCTGCCTCTCTTTGGATCGCCTGTGATCGTTCCTGATTCACCAGGTCTTTATCCGACCTAAAACACACAGCAGAGCGGATCGACCCGCGTGACCACAACCAGAAACACCCGAACACGTCTGAATGCCACCGCATCAGACGCTAAAGATCAAAACAAGGGCACGCAAAAGTGACCCGTGGGTCAAAGACGAATAAGGGTTTACGCATAAAAACAATAAGTGTAATACTGCTTTAAATTGTTGTTGTTTTTCCTAAAAAAAAAAGTAAAAGTTTTCCGTTTAATTTAATTGCACTTTTGTTTTTGTTTTTCTGAGCAAAAAATAAATATCATACATTTTCCCCCTGATTTAGACCCACTATTCAGTGTAACAATCTTCTCAGGCATATTTACAGCAAAAATCCAGACGAATTACTTTCACCCCAAATACTAATTAGTTGTAATTTTACATTTTTAAAGCATTTGCCACTATCCTAGGTTTTGCCCCATTTGTCAGTAAGAACTTTTTACTCATTTAAAACACAATCAAATTGAATATGCTCACTTATTATTTTATATATTTTAATATGCACATGTCAGAATAAGCATGTTTTTAAAAATGTTTTACATAAATATTGTGTTACACTGAATGACAATGTAACTTTGTTACATTTTGTTATTTTACAAAGCCCCTGATATAACTTCACTGTAAACCACAGCTTCACGGGGATTATTGCTTTAATCTAATCTTGAGTTGAGTGAATCGTTACATCCCTAATCTTGACGTGAACTCACTTGGAGAAGGTCAGTCGGCTGCGTTTGGGAGAGAAGGCTTTCTCCTTCATACTGATGCTGATGCTCTGAGCTACGAGCTTCTTCTGAACCTCCTTCTTGGGCTCTGAAGCCACTTCTCGAACCGAGTCCCTCGAGTCCAGCTGGAGGGGTTTGGAAGAACAAGCCGCGATGGTTTGAGGATCTGGAGAAGACGAGCCAATCTCCTCAGCGTCCATCGTCTCGTGTTTCTGCAGAGCTTCCAGGCTGCTTTGGTCCACAGGGATCTCCTTCTGCATGCGGATTATGACCACAACGGACTCCTTTTTCTCCCGAGCTTGCTTGAGCGGGCTGCTGTCCTCATCTGCGATGTAGAAGTGAGGTTTGAAGGAGGCCAGACTGCTCTGGTTCTCCTCCATCGGCTCGGGTTCGGGACAGCCGAGGAGCTCGAAGCTTCCCTGGCTCTCCGAGGGAAGGTGTCTGGAGAGAGGGCTCGGAGCGGGAAGCGCGTCGTCCACTGAAGCGGAGCGCACTTTGAGCAGCTCTAAACTGAAGGTGGCTTGCTGGAGCTCCCGCTGCCTCCTGCTTTGGCGTTTGGAGCGGCTCTTCAGCGTACTGCCGTCTACGCTTCTGAGAGGTTCTCCTCTCTCCTCTTGGACTTCGGGTGGGTTTTGTTGGGCGTGTAAACTTTTGCTCACAGTGTTTTCACAGAGGCTTTTCTCTCCACGTCGCTGCTCTCGAAGAATGCGGCACCTTGGGAAAAAACAACATACATTTATGACACTTTCATCCGATAGGGACATAAACTAGATGTTTGATAAATCAAGAAAATATTTATTATTTAGTTTTCTCCTTTTTCTTCTTGCCTATTTAGATGTTTATTTGTATGCTTATTAGTGCTGTCAAACGATTAATCGCAAATAATCGCATCCAACATAAAGGTTTTAGTTTGAATAATATATGCGTGTATATTTATTATGTACATATAAATACACACACATGCATAGTATATATTTTGAATGTATTTGCATGTCTATATTTATATATATTCAATACATTTTTATTCATATAATATAATTTATATTATAAATAAATATATTTAATATATAAAACTAAAATGTTTCTGAAATATATACATGCATGTGTGTGTATTTGTATATGCATAATTAATATACAAAGTACACATACATATATTATGCAAGATTGATGGATGCGATTAATCGTTTGACAGCACTAATGCTTATATTATTGTGACTATATGTTCATCGTTATGTGGGCATTTATCATGCTTGCTTGATACTTTCTTAATTCTATAACAGTTTGATACTTGTATTGTGCCTTGAGATGCTCATGTGCTTTTCATTAATAAAAAAACATCAAGTAAATATTAAGACGCTTTATGGACACCTCTTATGTTTATTTCTGCTTTAGCAACCAAAATAGGTCCAATAGGAAATCGCAAAAGTGGAACAAACTGACGAAACATCAACACTCTCCAAACGTCGACTGTCCAATCAGATTAGTCTACGCAAAACCACTAGCCAATCAGAACATAGCCGCAGTGGTGACTTCTCTAAGGTCACCGGAGAGGGACTGTGGGAGGCAGAAGGATTATGGGTCTTGTACGTCTGCCAAGAGAAGGATTATCCTCATTTGGCATATTCTGTGGGCAAGGTGTTAAACTAATGCTAACTCCCCTTTTCAACAAGTCACCACCAACAAACAGCGAGTAACTCTTGCAGCACTTCAATTCTGACATACTCATTTTATTGAGTTAATTCCTGGAAACCCAGACTAACAAGATCTTGCATAGAGTGTTGCCCATGCAACATAATAAAATAAAAACGTATGGGAAGCCAAGAGGATGTAAAGTCCCTGGAGAAAGCACTGGCCATTACTCAGAGTAAAATGTCCTGTCACGCTGTAGAAGAGCTCTGACAGGCCGTGATTCATCCCTGAGGTTACAGCAATTGTGCCATGTAGCCATCTTCTTTTTAAAGCCCGATAAATAAAGACACACACACATAAATCGACGTGGAAAGCCAGGCAATCCAAACGGCACTTGCCGTTATATGCTCTAGTGCACATTTTAATCTATTCTTCTTCTTCATCATCATCCGCTTTCAAACAAGTTTTAATATTGAAACCCAATCTGTCAAAATAATGTGCCCGATTACAGCGAAAACAAGAAAGTGATGTTAACTCCATGTTAATTAAGCAATGTTAATTCCTCAGATATCAACACCAATGCAATTAACAAGCCGAAATCATTTGGTAAAAACTGATTAAGAGTCAATCCCCCCCCTCCTCGTATAAATAACAGAGCTTTTGGTACCATGAAAACCGATCCTTCTGCACCATTCTGGCAGGCCATGCAGGCAGCAATATCCTCCAGCATTCGGGACAGCTTGTTCTGAAGCAGCCGATGTAGAGTGAGAAGAGTCGAGTTAAGGAAGACATCCTTGCCTTCCTTGACACAGTCTGGCCAGAACCAGCACATGGCAAGGAAGGAACAGAGAACCTCGACCGGCGAGTGCTCACTGAGGCAGAGCTCGATGAGCGAGGTGAGGTAGATGCATGGCCTGGCATCCCGTTTGGTCTGCTCTGCCATTGGAGCTGACCCCGTCTCATGGGCAGTGCTGGTAGTGTTAGTTGTTCCTCTTCTATGGATCCCTTCCCAATCTCTGGCTGTGTACAGGACTGTTAAATAAGCCCCGATTATTAGTCAGCTCACAGCCATATGCTGACTGACTGGCTTAGTCATTCCCATCCCCCTATGGGTTCAATGGTAAACACTGAGGGTCTGGTAATTGGAAATTATGGGGTAGCTCCCAAACTGGCTTTTGAGAACACTTTGCTTGGCTGTGTGTATAAGTTTTTGCAGCCAAAGATATATTTTTGGAATGATCAAGACTTTCCAACTTCAAGCATGTCTTGTCAAATACTTCAGCTAATGAAATAAACTTAAAAGCTGAGCTAGTTCACAGCTTGATATTAAAGAGCCTTTCCAGATACTACAGCCCGTTTGCTCATAAATAATGTTAATTTTCAATTGGGAGAATTGGGGGGAAAAAAAACTTTGTTTGAAGTGGATTGTTTCTGTCCTGGATGCCAGTAAAGAGTCCATACAGAGTTTCAGACTAAAATACACTATATATAGTAACAACTACGATGTTTTAAACTAGTGCTGTCAAATGATTAATTGCGATTAACTGCATCCAAAATAAAAGTTTTTGTTTGCATAATATGTGTGTGTGTTCTGTGTATATTTATGTATATATGAATACACACACATAGGGTATATATTTTGAACATATTTACATGTATTCACACGTCTATATTTATATTCATATAATTTATATTATAAATAAATATATTTAATATATAAAAATAAAATGTTTCTGAAATATATACATGCATGTGTGTGTATTTGTATATGCATAATTAATATACAAAGTACACATACATATATTATGCAAGATTGATGGATGCAATTAATCGTTTGACAGCACTAATGCTTATATTATTGTGACTATATGTTCATCGTTATGTGGGCATTTATCATGCTTGCTTGATACTTTCTTAATTCTATAACAGTTTGATACTTGTATTGTGCCTTGAGATGCTCATGTGCTTTTCATTAATAAAAAAACATCAAGTAAATATTAAGACGCTTTATGGACACCTCTTATGTTTATTTTTGCTTTAGCAACCAAAATAGGTCCAATAGGAAATCGCAAAAGTGGAACAAACAGACGAAACATCAACACTCTCCAAACGTCGACTGTCCAATCAGATTAGTCTACGCAAAACCACTAGCCAATCAGAACATAGCCGGTGTCTAAAAGATGTGGAGAGAGATTTTGGACCAATGAGATTCATTTTCATCGTTTTAATTAAAATTTTTGTATTTTATTTATTATATTTTTAATACTAAAATATAAAATGCTATTAAAAACAATAAAAACAAAGACTCTTCATCTCATCCTAGACCTATGAGTGACATCTACATATATGCATTACTTTTTTAATATAACATTGACTAAAAGCTCATTAATCAAGTGAGGAAAAAATAGATCAATAAAACAATTAGATTATTTTGATGCTAAAACTCTCAAATAAAAATACTAAAATACCATTTTGTTTTTAAAAGGAAATTAAATAAAATATTTTAATAAATAAAGTATAACATTAGTTTTATGCTAAAAATCTCTTACTATTTAAAAAAAAAGAAATTGAATAAAATATTGAAAAAAATACATCTACATATATAATCTACATATTTATTAATAAATTACTAATAGCTCATAAATATGTTTAATCTGTCCATTTATCATAATTGATTCATTAACATCCTTTATTATAAATCATTACAATGATACAATTAAAATATAGTATAACAATTATAATATTTTTATGCTAAAAATCTAAAAGGAAAAAAAAAACATTTAAAAAATGTATTTTTTTTTTACGGAAATAAATATATTTCAAATCTGAAAAAATGACTCTTCACCTCATCTTACACCTATGAGAGACATCTCTCTCATAAATAAGCTTAATTAGTTCATTTATCATAGATTACTCTGTTTCATAATCACAAGCAGACATTTATTCAAGGTTAGGTTCAAGTACACAGGTTCGATTCCCAGGGAAAGCATGAACTGACCCAAATTTGTCCCTTTAACGCAATGCAATCTCTTCGATTAAACACATCTGGCAAAGGCATTGGTGTAGGTGTTGACTGACCTGTGGCGCTCGCGCTGCCCCCTGCAGGCGGCCTGTAGCGTGACGGCGGCACGGCGCTGCTGCAGGAAGCTGTGTCTCTGTCTGAGGCTCCTCCAGACAGACTGTATGAGGCGCGCGGCCGAGTGTTGCATCTGCAGGACTCTCCTCCAGCGCGTCTGGATGATCAGCGCCGCTCTCCTCCGCCGCAGGAACAGCCGGCGCTCTCTGAAGCCTCTCCAGGCCGCCTGCAGACGCAGCGCCGCCCCCTGCTGGAGCTCCGCGTCAGCACGAGTCAGACAGGCCCTCCACCAGCGCTGAGCGCAGAAACACACACAACACTGATTACTGTGCTGTACACACTGCATAATAGTTACTAACATAGCATGTGATTGATAAGTTATGACGTCTGTGTTCGGAAAACATACTGGCTGACCTCTCCTTTACTATTCATTTTATTAGATTTTTTTATTTGCATTTGTGTTATAATGTATTACTGAGTTACTGCTTTATCGTACATTTGTATTTTTGTTCTGATTTCATTGTATTACCCTGTATTTTATTTTATGCTGTGGTTCACCCTCTGCTTAAGAAACCTAATCTTGATCCATCCATCCTCAGTCATTTCAGACCTATTTCTAAGTTGCCTTTTATCTCAAAGCTATTAGAGAGAGTTGTTTATCATGAGTTGAACTCCTATATCAGTATGTCCAGTGTTTTAGATACTCTTTAGTCGGGTTTTAGATCACTGCACAGCACAGAGGCGCTCTCTGAAGCCTCTCCAGGCCGCCTGCAGACGCAGCGCCGCCCCCTGCTGGAGCTCCGCGTCAGCACGAGTCAGACAGGCCCTCCACCAGCGCTGAGCGCAGAAACACACACAACACTGATTACTGTGCTGTACACACTGCATAATAGTTACTAACATAGCATGTGATTGATAAGTTATGACGTCTGTGTTCGGAAAAAACATACTGGCTGACCTCCCCTTTACTATTCATTTTATTAGATTTTTTTATTTGCATTTGTGTTATAATGTATTACTGAGTTACTGCTTTATCGTACATTTGTATTTATTTTGTTCTGATTTTATTGTATTACCCTGTATTTTATTTTATGCTGTGGTTCACCCTCTGCTTAAGAAACCTCATCTTGATCCATCCATCCTCAGTCATTTCAGACCTATTTCTAAGTTGCCTTTTATCTCAAAGCTATTAGAGAGAGTTGTTTATCATGAGTTGAACTCCTATATCAGTATGTCCAGTGTTTTAGATACTCTTTAGTCGGGTTTTAGATCACTGCACAGCACAGAAACTGCACTGTTGAAGGTTAGCAATGACCTTTTGCAAGTTCTCGAAACTGGTTCATATGCGGTGCTTGTTTTGTTGGATTTAAGTGCGGCATTCAATACAATTGATCATAGTATTCTGTTACATCGGTTGGAAAAGTTGGTGGGTATTCAGGGTGTCGCTCTGCAGTGGTTGGCCTCTTATCTCAAAGACAGAACCTTCTCAGTGAGCATTGGGAAGTTTTCTTCTTTGTCGGCTCCTTTGTCATGCGGTGTGCCCCAAGGGTCTATTTTAGGCCCTCTTCTTTTTTCACTTTACATGCTTCCCTTGGTTGCCATTTTTAAGAAATATAAGATTTCATACCACTGCTATGCTGACGATACACAGTTCTATCCTCCAGTAAAAACTGACAGCAGTGATTCTTTGGATGTGCTCTACGACTGTCTTGAGGAGATAAAATGTTGGATGGCTAATCATTTTTTGCAATTAAACGAAAGCAAAAGTGAAATTCAGATTTTAGGTCACTCTAGGACTTCATCTGTTTTTAAGTTAGGGTTTCTCTCTGCCAGTGTTCAACCCTATGTAAGAAATCTTGGGGTTATATTTGATTCGTTACTCAGCTTTGAGAAACAAATTAGCACAGTGGTAAAGGGCAGCTTCTTCCACCTGAGATCAATTGCTAAACTGAAACAGTTTTTGCCCCACAAAGATCTGGAGACTGTAATCCATGCTTTCATAACATCACGCCTAGATTACTGTAATTCTCTTTACTGTAAATTTTGACTTGACTTACTGCCTTATTGCATGTTTTTAATTTTGTATTTTTGTTATTATATGATATTTTCTTCTAATTTTATTTGACAGAGTATTTCACTTTATTGTTTTTAATTTTGTATTTATTTTGCCCTAATTTTATTTTATTGCCTGATATTTTATTTTAATGCTTTATTGTATGTTTTAAATTAGTATTTGTGTTATTATGGATTATTTTGTTCAGATTTTATTTTATGGGCCTTTTTTACTGCTTTATTGTACATTTGAAATTTGTTGTATGTTTGTATTTGTATTTTTGTTATTATGCATTTTTTGCTCTAATTTATGTTATGGCCTAGTATTTTATTTTACTTGCTTTATTGTGTTTTAATGAATATATATATATTTTTTTTTAAGTATATCATTTTTAAAATAAAACCCAATAAGCCAATAAAATGAATAAATACCAGGTAAAATGAGACTCAAATGCAGTGTGTACCTGTATGAGTTGAGCGGCTTGTCTCTGTCTGCAGAAGCGTCTCCTCTCTTGCTGTGTCCTGAAGCTCCTCTGCAGACACACGATCCTCCTCAGCACCTCCTGATGAAGCTGCTCCTGCAGACGCTGCCGCAGACGCTCCCGCAGGAACACCTGAGACACACACACACACAGCGCTCAGTATCTCGGGACACGTGTGTGTGTGTGTGTGTATGTGTGTGTGAGTGTGTGTGAGAGAGTGTGTAAGAGAGAGAGTGTGTGTGAGTGTGTGTGAGAGAAAGTGTGTGTGTGTGTGTGTGTGAGGGAGTGAGTGTGTGTGTGTG